GATGTTGAAGTTTCTGATGTAAGTGACGCAGTGTCAGAAGCCGGAAGAGCTTATGACGTAGAACAGTGCAGCTGTGGAACAGGTTATACTGGTTTATCCTGTGAGGTATGACACACTTTAATTTGTTTACTACTGAGATGTAGTGCCAATCTTTTATGGGCTGTTGTTACCTACAGTATCACTGCATGGTGATTCATGGTTTACTGTCTTTCTCACAAAATAGTTTTATCCACAGTTAATTAGAAAGAAAATATGGCTGGTTTCTTATCGATTTTCATTCCTCATTAACTGTCAAAAATGTGACGGAAGAGTTTTATTCTCCCTACTTTTTAGCGTTGTGCAAGTGGTTATCACAGAGTGAATGTGTCAAGTGACATGTATCTTGGCAAGTGTGAGCCATGTAACTGTAATGGTCACACTCGGGACTGTGACTCTGCTACAGGACAATGCTTGGTAAGTCATAAACATCTCGCTGTCATGGGTCTAGTGTTATTCTGATTCCTTTTTGCTGAGCGTAAGTTAATGTATTCCTAAGCATCTCTATCTCTTATATCTGATAGTGCAAGTGAAGCTTATTGAAAAACTAGACTGGGAGCAGTCTGTCTTTTGCTCAGAAGTCCATGGGGAAGAAAGCAAAACAAGTGAGCATGCCTCATCTTCCGACGCCAATGCTGCTTGTGGCTCGCGGCCTCACATGTCACAATCGCACGCTTGTATTGCATTCTGGTTTGCTTTCTTCACCACGGAACTTCGAGCAAAAGAGAGATTGCTTGCAGTCTACCGGTATTGAAAAACTAGAGCAGTGGTAGGAAACTGAAATATTGTTTTACTCAAAACCTGCTAAACTTGTTTGTTAACAGAATTGTGCTCACAACACTACTGGCTTTCACTGCGAGATCTGTTTGGATGGTTTCTATGGTAACGCCACTGACGGAACACCTGGTGACTGCAAGAAATGTCCATGTGAAAGTCCACGAACCACAACGTGAGTATGCACTGCATGGAAACAACAGTACTCCAATAAAATGATTTGATTTCGCAAGGAAAACCAAGCATACAAACTCGGCACACATTCGATTACGCATAGGGGTAAATTACTGACGAAGCAGATAGAAGCATGTTTTGAGTAGGGAGTGGCAATCCTCAGAATAGTGTTGTTTGTAAACAGTGTTCCAAAGCGAGACATCAATAGAATTGTTACCCCACGGTTATGGTCACAGAGGTCACTTGACCCTTTTCGTACTCAAGGGTGTGTACTTAATCTTATCCCATAGTACAAAAGTGGTCTTTAGTAGCAGGACTCTACCTCTCTGTACATGACTAAGACATTTTATTGGACTGTCAATTGTCTTCCCAGACAAGATATTTTTGAGCCCCTACCCTTTATTACGCTATTACGCTTTTCTTCTTGTTCAGTGCACTGTGTAAAGCTGGTGCTGATGGTCAGCCAAGATGTCTTAACTGCTCTGAGGGATACGAGGGAGACATTTGTGGAAGGTGAGAAATGATGTCAAGCCGTCTAAATATCTCTTTTTTAAAAGCCTGACGCACATTAGGAAATTTATATCACTTGTGACCACTCACCATAGCTCGGCATCAATGGAAAAGAATGGCGTGTGTGAGGCTTGTGACAGGGGTTAGATGTATAAAAGTAATCTGCGTCTCTGTTGCACAATGTCAGAGAATGATTGACTTAATATACCAAGCACTTGTTTTACCAAACCTCAAAAAGACAGAGAGGAGAGTTGAAAATACGATATGTAGTAGAGTATTTTTGAAGAACTTTAATGTGCTTAGAAATGTGGTAGAACACTGTCTCAGTGTTAAGTATTCTTCTAACAGTAACTTTAATTACCACGTTTCTGTTTAAGGTAGATTGTTAAATGAGCCTTCATTGCAATTGATTTCTTGTTCACCATATGACTATTCTTAATGCAGACCTTTCTTTGTACTTCAGTTGTGAGTTAGGGTTCTTTGGTGAACCTCTGACTCCAGGAGGAAACTGCTCCAGATGTCGTTGTAACAACAACTCAGATGTCTGCAACAGAACAACAGGAGAATGTATCAACTGTCAGCATAACACAACTGGTTTTTACTGTGAACGCTGTGAGAATGGAACATGGGGGAATGCTACTGAACAACAATGTCAAGGTAGCTTGCCCGTGAACTCTCATGCTGTAAAACGGGGCATAGTGAACTATCAAGATTTGCCAGTTAGAGAGTTCTAGTCAATGTTAGAGCGGTTGAAAAGTAATTGGTTTTGCATTACTACGCTACGCGATTGGCTCAAAAAACCCGCGCCAATTTTTCATCCAATCAGAAGTAAAACCAAGACCAATCGTGACTCGTTCGCACACGTTTTCCCGCGCTTGCCTTCACGTTAGCTACTTTGAGTTTTGATTGACTCACTGTATTGTCTACCTCCTTTGTGACTGGCCTAGAGCGATTACTTTGGTTTTGGTTTTACGACATCGCTGAAAGGATACACAATATAAGTAATTCCCTATTAGCTCGCACTACAGTATCATATGTAGATACAGTTTCACATGAAAACATCTGTAGTGACCCGACAGATTATCCTTTAGTGTTAAATTTTCTTCTGTTTCCCTCAGTGTTGTCGTCCTTGAAATTTAGGTCTTTGTGGTGCTTTGGCAAGTCTTGTTTTTTCCAATGCCCGCATTCTCATAAGACCAACTTTTCTTAACACTGCCTGTAGGAGTGATTTTGCAAGTTTAGGCTCTAATTTTCATTCTTACTTGTTTGTTTGGAAGTAATCAAAACGTAAAGTTCAGTACAATTTGTTTAATATGGAGTTCTTTGTTGCGCCTACTCYGATCTAAATTCACGTTACAGCAGTGGAATGCAAAAAATAGTCAGAAGCTAATCCAACAGCAACAGCGTGTTATAATCAATTTATCATATTTATGTCAACTCTGACTTGTAGCTTGTGTCTGTGATGGAATCGGTGCACATCACAATGTGTGTAATCACGTGACTGGACAGTGTGCTTGCAAGCCCCACGTGACAGGACTGAATTGTTCCAGATGTGAGGTAATTAATAGTTTAAAACTAAAAGACAAGAACAAGTTGAAAAGTTACTTTTTGTAAGTCTTCCGTCAGTAGTCTAGACTCTTCATGTATTGACATGACATTTTCTGCACAGAATGTACATATAGCTTTAGAGTATATTTTCCCTGATTTCGATGGGCGATGGTTTTTTTAACTAAGAACAATTTGCCCAGCTATTGCGTGTATAATAAATGTTTTTTAATAACCTGCGGCCAGTTGGCACAAAGGATGGATAACGCTATTCACTGGATATACGACTATCCACTGGGAGCACAGTTTGTTTTGTTACTGTATGTATTTATCCACTGAATAGTAATTTATCCGGTTGATAGCGTTGTCCACCCTTTGAGCAAGTGGGGCCTGTAGTTGTACAAAATTGTTACACGCAATTTGAAAATATTGTATAAGTGTTTTGTGATGTTCAAAACAGTAGTTTACGGAGGTAAAATAACAAAGAGGGGATAATTAGCCAGGAAGGAACGTGGATGGTTATGAATGGGGAAACTGACCTAATGAACTAACATGAAAATTGGGTTAGACACTGTTATTTGTTCATTTTATAACTATTGTTGTTGTTTTTTTTTGTAGCCTTACAGCTATAACTTCACTTCAAGTGGCTGTACGCCTTGTGAATGTAACAGATTTGGATCAGGTTCTCTTCAGTGTAATGAGTCGGGCATCTGTGAGTGCAAGAACCACACTCTTGGCGAGAAGTGTGACTTGTGTCAGTGGGGATTCTTTGGTCTTCCTAATGCCACCTGTCAAGGTAAGGGATAGGTTAGTTTAGTAAATAAAACTGATAAGAAAAAGGGAATGCACAAGGAAAGACATTCACTTACAATTTCTTTTGAGTTTAGTGAGATTTTCTTGCAGCAGTAAAACGTCACCAATACCTTCTGTGAGACCAGTTGGAACTGAGAAGGACTCTATGTCTTTAGATATACAAAACTTCGTTGTTGTAGTTTAATTACTCTGTAGTAACTAAGTGATGTGATATGAAACTTGTTAAACACTCACGTTTTTTGTTGCTGAAACTCCTTATGCTGTCATAGCCTGTCACAGAAAATTTGTTTGAAGTTGTTTAGCGGTATGACTTGTGTTTGCCTCGAGTAATGGCGGCTAAATTGTCCATCAACAATAACTAAAAGGGGAATAGAAGAACTGAAAACATTCCTTTGAGACCTTTGTTGCTATTCCATAATCCATAGTCCCAAGTGTATCCAGCGGTCATCTTGAGGTAACGGCATTTTCATTTTTCAGCGTGTAACTGCAATGAGACTGGCTCAAACAATTTTACACGATGTGACCGTGCGTCTGGACAGTGTGACTGCAAGCCTGGCGTGACCAGTAGAACGTGTGACCGTTGCATGTTACAGCACACTAACTTCTCAGGGAATGGCTGTGATCGTGAGTACTCGTAACTTGTTTAATTGAGGTTATAGAACAGCTATTGTGTGGTTATTATCTTATAGCGTAATCCATGGCTACAATACGTCAGGAAAAAGTAAAAATAAAAATTTAGGTCAGAGAAAAGTCAGGGTATTATTAAGGGGCACTCTTAAAAAATTGTTTGGGGGGGGCGGGACTGATGAGAAAAGGGGCGTGTCTCAAAATTTTGAGGTGTAAAAAGGGTGGATGTGGACAATGAAAGTCTTGTCAAGGGGAAGCACCATCTCCATGCAGAGGGGTNGGGGGGGGGGGGGTACTTGTGGAATAAAAAACAAGCGACATACAACTTTCCAACAATGAATCCTTCTTTGAAGACAAATAGTCTCCGGAGGTGAAGGTGGTACATTAGATTCAGAGTATTTTACCATACTTTTGAAGTACCAGAGGTTGATGGAGGGGGGATGGGGGTCTTGAAAATTTCGCCATCGGGTAAGAGAAGTCTTAAAAACATTTTACTGCAGGATAGTTTCACATCAGTCCCCCTCTCTTCTCTGGTCAGTAACATTCTAAATTTCTGGTCAAAGTTGTGGAAAATCTAGGGAACACATATCTAAGGTTCCTACAGGTTTTGACTTTCTTTGGATAAGGACTGCCTTACTCTCCGATGCCTGGCGTTGAATCGCTGTTAATTAATGAGATTTGTTTCTCAAAGGAAATTAAATTAATTTTAATATTGCTACACTCAGTCATAAATTTGATTTGTGAAAAGTGTTTACTGGCAAGTGAAGAGTCGATCAGAAAAGGCGAACGTACAAGGGCTAGCGCGTGAAAGCGTTCGTGCTGGTCAGATTTCCTGTAGTTTGTGTTTCTCTCGGTACGCTCTTGTCTTAAAAGAAAATAGAAGGTCTGTAAACAATGGTTTTTGCAATGATGTGTTAATCTTCACGGCTCTGACTAAGTTCTTTCGTTTACAGCATGCCCACTTTGTACCAGGCTTGGTTTACAAGCCCAGTTGAATACAACACTGACGACGTTGAACGATGCCCAAGAAACTGCTGATACGGTTTCCAACCTTGAAGAGTTATGGCCAGAGTTGATTAATGTGGAGGGCCTTATCACTGAAGCACAGGTGAGATTGTCCAGTTTCAGGATTTCTCCAGAGACTCACTGGTAAAAGTATCACCTATGGTTACCTGTAGACTGCTTTGACATCAGGCATTTTTGTTGTAACCGTGTACAACAGTGAATGATAGGGAGGGCAATCTCTGAGGAAACACCTCTAAGTAAACATTGGACTGTCAGTCATATCTTTATGTAGAATGCGCTGGGAGGCATTTCATATAGACAAAAAAAGTTTGGAATAAAGGAGCACAGTCGAATCTCCCTACAACGGCCATCTTGGGGGTAGAGGTTACCGGCCATTGTGTAGAGGTGGCCATTGTTTGGAGATTAAAATAAGAGCAAATCTCTCAACTGGGACGAACATATCGGGTCAAGGAGCAGCTCTAGTAAGGTCTCGCGTGAATCGTTCGATATCCTTTAAGGGAACAATAGAACAAACAATAGAAGCAATGCCTTGGCCCTAAACAGCTGCTACGATAATAAAACACTGCTACACTTCTAAACATTTGTGCCTGTTGTAAAGAGGTGACCGTTAGTAGAGGTTTGACTGTGTTTTAGCTTTGCTGTCGTTTTATTTGCAGGCATCCTCGGCAGAATTTGACACGCTAGTGAAAGGACTTCAGGCGAACATTACCCAGCTAAAGGAGAATACTCCAAACGAGACTGTTAGTGAACTGCAAGTGTTGGTAAGATTTTGAAAGCTTTTAATTCACAAGGAATCTGCCACGGGTTTAGGAGTGGCCTTGTTGATTTCTTATGATGTATTGCGCCCTCAGGCCACCCAACTTCCTCTAGACTTCATTGCCGTCAAATACAAATCATAAGCAAAATTTGTTTTTTGTACCAAACATTTCTTTACCCTTTAGTCTTGGTACTATTTTTTCTCAATCGACTTAAACGTCCAAGATATTGGGCTCGCTCAGGGTTCCAGATAAGTTTTCAAGGTGTGGTGTCAATGAGGAATTCCAACGGGTCAATCTCCAATGCTCCCACCAAATCATCATAAATTTTCTATTAATTTGTCGGGTCAAGTTGCTGACCTTGTCGGGTTTTTGACCTGAGACCCCTTGCTTATCTGGAACACTGCTCGCTATAGACTGCTTGCAGTCTGCCTTTCTCTCAAAGTATGGGGCGAGACACTTCAAACGAGAAGGGATTTCTCATTCATAACACCTTTTTGCGTTCACGTTCAAGGGGACAACCACTCATCCAACCCTAAAAGAAGAGACCGACTGCAAGCAGTCTAATTTTGCACCCCCCCCCCCCCCATTTTTTCAATGGTAGTCACAGACATTTGTATTCGTCAGAGTTGCTATTAGAGGCAACTGGTAACAGTGCAGAGGACTTGTTTAACAAAACAATGCAGTTTAGCGCAACGTTTAGCAAAATTATCTGGGTGGGGGTCACAGCCACCTTAAGTGAAGTCTGAAACCCTTGTTCTGCGTCTTGTTCATGAATCTCATGGTGAATGCTCAAGAATAAGACTCCTTGATCCTGTTATACAGCTTGAGAAGAAAAAGGTGTGAATCTTGTTAAATTTCTGGTGAAATTCCATATTCAAGTTGAAAGCCGCTTACAGCAATGTCTGTGGTCGTGTGAGGGACGAATATTTGATTTGCTATGTGGATTAATATTTTTCTTTGTCTTTAGTTGTCGGACACATCACAACAGGGTGAGAATTTGACAGCGCTTGTTTCTCGTGAGCTGAGCCGCATTGAAGATCTAAATAGAAACACTCAGTCTTCAAAGGATAATGTAACAGGTCAGTAGTGCATGATTCCAGCTCAACTTATTTTTACCTTACGTTGACTAAACAACCTTTTGAACGATATATATTTAGACACTTGATAGAGCAATTTGCTTTGCGTGATGATCACAGTATTTCTAAAATGAAAACACATTCCCACGTTATTGCAAAACAAGTTTTGGATTCTCGATGGTCGGTAAAAGGAACTGCGAAACTGAAAAATGATTAAAATGCAATGATGGAGCAATGACCAACGGGAGAAGGCCTTGAATTTGATAGACGTATTGTATTCACTGACAAGATCGTTTATTTACGTCGAAGAGCTTCAAGTTGTTTGTTAACTATGGTTTAAGGCTCTTGTTTGCAATGGTTTAGGTTTATCTCGGGGTGTATTTCTTAGGAATGATCTCGATCAGGAGTTATGATCCAAGATCACTCGAATCTTGATGTGTTAAAGGAGCTACATCACAGTTTGCGCATCTTGAAAAGTTTAGTCTAAATCTTTCAAGTTTGTCGTTTGCAATCCATATTGATCTTTCCCATCTTCGATTATCTTAGTTCCTTTATGGTTTATTATTATCTCTTTGGAGTTTTTCTACCTTAGTAAACTACTATTTTCAGGTGCCCTTCAATGTAAAGGTAATTTTGCATGTGGCCAAAATATCGTGGGAACCAGTGATTCCACTCTTGTCAGGGTTTTATCAGTTGGTTTTATCTTCGATCATTGATTGTAGTCTGGGTCATCCCAGAGAAATGAACCGCAGGGCATAGGAATGCGTCAACATTATTTATCAATTATATATTTTCAGCATTAAATGCTACAGTTGCTGACATATTGAGTCAACTGACGACACTACGGAGTGACGCCGACAACGTGTTAGCTGGTATTAATGGAATCCTGAGCAGGACGTATGACAGCGAAATGCAGGCAGTTAACGAGGAGGTACAGAATGTACAGGCGGCTTCTTCCTTGGCCATGTCGGCACAGTACAATGTTACATCTCACAAGAACACCTCAGTAGACCTCAACAGGACTGCACTGGGAGCAGAAGAACGGGATGAAGCTGCGGATTAACACTGTCACAAACTTGACCAATCAAGCTCTTGTTCTGATAAATCAAACTTTTTTTTATGAAATAGCTTTTCTTAAGGGTGAGGGGTGGGGTGGGGGGAGGGGGGGGCTAGTTCCATATGAAAAGTTCAGGGATGCTTGTGGGAAAATTTCAATTAAAGCCCTAAAGGGGACCAATCTGGGAATGGCTCGAGCTTTTTTTGACCCTTAAAAGATACCACTATAAAACGGACTTGACAGCATTTCTATTATTTCTTCGAATGTAATCCTAAAAGATACTTAGGCAGCTAAAAATAGTAGCGTTTCATCCTGAACACCCTAAGTGAGACCAGAATCCTTTATTTATTCCCCTAAGCGAGACGACGAGCTTCCCCGACCTTTTCACATGGTAGTCTCCCGCCCTTCTAGGATGCTGTGCTTTATTTGTCTCTTTTACTTTAGCCAAACACTTCACTTTCACAGTGCTCGTATCCTCCCATGTATATATTAGGTACTGGCAAATCTTGTGGAATCTATAAATGCGTGCAAGGGTAACTTGGAGATCCCATCCAGGCGGGGGGCCAAAAATATGCAGACCGCCAGTTTAGTGGAACAACCAGAAGAATCGAATTGTTATTGCAGTTGGGCAAATGAAAGAAGCTTATTTTTTTAGTTTTATGCCCGTAATTTGTTGGCAAAAGGTTAAGCACTTCCTTCTCAGTCGAACAGTGTCATATTGGAAGTTGTGAGTGCCTGTCGATTGAATTACTTCCTACTCTCTCATCCACAGAACCTAATAAGCGAAGCAAGAGATTTAACTGATCAGGCTCTGCAGCTTCTTCAAACAGCCACCGGCATCTTAAACACAAGCACACAACACGTTTCCAACGGTGAAAGCAACTACCAGGTACATATACGACACACTGATGTATGATGACACATGTATATGTGGCCAAACAGAATCACAAGCCGAAGAAAATACAAATGATGACATACCATACGACGTCGGTTTTGTACTGTTCAAAAATATCCCTTCAAATCCAAGAAAATGATGATTTATTGAAGTGGAAAAAATTTCCCAAATTTCGCCCAGTTTGTCCATGCGTGAATTTTTTTTCTAAAACGTAGCTGGTAATGTTTGATGATTTGAATAAAAACTAAATCGATTTTGGATGAGACTAGCTGGTGACGTTGAATAAAAGTGGCTGTAAGCGTTGCTTAATTAGTAGATAATCAAATGTTTTTGATCAACAGAACGCTAGTGACCTTCTTAACGACTTGAAAACGCATATCAGCACTTTGGAGAACTCCCTGACAGTTACGGCACCAGAGTTATCTGCAGCGAATCAAAGTGTGATGGAAAATGCCACTAAACATGCTGCTAATCTCACTGCTGAAGCCAGACAAAGGCAAAGGTGAGCTTGGTTAAGTGCGAATGATTTCCTTAAAAGTTGGATTCTTCGGTTTGAACCTGAAAATGTCAATTCTCTGAACTTCTCCTGATGTGTCCCTTTGTGACATCTTGTTTCTGTGTGTTTTTTTGTTTAGTGTGTTCAACACTACTCTGTCCCACGGAGCACGCGCAGTAGACGCTATCAAAACATTCGAAGAAGTGGTTGTACTGGGAAATCAGTCACTGGAAACCTCGCAACAAGTCAACGAGTCTTTACAAGAAATTATGAACCGGGTAAGATCATTCCTCCAAGCTTCTTACAGTCACGTTGTTGGTCAACCTCCAACAAGTTGCGATTATTCTCAGATTGCCCATGAACTATCCAGTTTATCTTTAAAGCAGCAACGAGCATTGACCACGTAAAACAATTTACAGACTGTTATTTGGTTATATTTCAGCTGGAGAATCTCACGCTAGTTAGCTCTGATCTCCGAACAAGGGTTGTTACTTCTGAAGATGAGAGCGAAACTCTCCTCAACAATACTTTGAAAAGGGATGCAGACTTACCAGGTAGCATTTGTTTATTGGCTTACTCGGACCACTCAATGGTGATTGGTTTTGTTACAAGCTTGTGCTTCTATGAGCAGGCTACAAAAAAAACGAAGCTTGGCAAAATACATTGCATTAGTTATTAATATACCTTAAAAAGTAACGACACTTCGAAAGTGGCGGTAAAATTTCGTGGGCGTTAATAATAAATCCTGAAAATAGCAACACCTCGTAAGTTACGACTATCCAAGAGTAAAGACCTCTTACGGACTTTGACTTGTTACGAGGAAGATGCAATAAGCAGGAGCAAAATTGTACCGTATTTGGTTTGGGTGACCCTTATTACAAAGGCAATATGTCACTGTTCTTTTAAACAAGTTTTTTTCCCCCTTTCTCTCTTCTCTATATGTTGAGAAAAGTTTTAATTAAGCTGGCTTGGCCCGCATTTAGTTCGCGTTTGATCTAACAGAGTAGCGATATTTAGTGGATATAAAGTGTTATAGCAACTATACAACGTAGAGTATAAACCTTGCATGTGTGCGCTTTGTTTAGGACTCCGTGCCAATGTTTCCTCGTCAAATCAGACTTACATGAATGCCGTTACGACTGGGACGTCAGTTGATTCACTTTACAGCTCGTTACAATCCAGCCGAGACTCCCTGGACCAAGCTGCAGAAGTCGGAAACAGTCCCCACTCCATCGTGTCTGATGCCCAGTCTTCTAGCGATTACATCGACGAGGCAATATACCGCTCGGATCCAGTGAACAATGGAGCACCAGCCCTATTGGATCAAGTGAACAGACTCGAGCAGAAAATGCAGTCCATTAATGAATCAACCGAGAGGGCTGCAGTGCTGACCATTCAGGCATTTGAAAATGGTAAGTATGCGAGTTGATGTGACTGGTTTTGAATCTTACTTATCTTCGTCCTCGTTCAATATTGGATTTTTTCAGAAAGCTGTAATGTTAAATTGAACTTTTGCTTCTCAACCAGAGGTTAAGGCCACAATACCTTTCGTTCTTTAGTGCCTTACTCCACCAACTGTCACTTCACGAGTTTAAACACACCTCCTAATTGATTATCTCTCAGTGGCCTCATAATTAAGTGGTAAAGCGTTTTTACTGGATTTGCAATCTTCTTGAGTTGAAGCCCATTAGCTCCCAGTGGAGACTGAATGGTTTTATCTGTAGGCCTTTTTTATTGATTAAGTTGAAATAGAGCTGCGAGGATCTTATTTCTTTCGTTCGTTTTACTGCAGTTTTCGTATATAGTTTATTTGATATACACATCGTAACCTGTCTTTATTCCGTTGTTAGTTATTTTTTTATCACATATACCCTACAATGAAGTCATTTCTAATCTTGCAACTGTTACGATCGGTATATCCAAGACAAGTACAGTTAACTTGACATTAACCTGATAATCACTTGACAATGTGATTTCTTTTAACAGTGCAAAATGTTAGTCGATCATTGGGGAGCGTGGACAATAAAGTGCAGGAAGCGGACAGACTCAAGAATATAACAGCAAACTTACAAGCACAATTGAGACAAAATATGTCAGCTCTAGAGGAAAAGCTGAGGAGAGCCAGAGAATATGTCGCCAAGGTAAAGCGTCTTCTAACTTGTGAATGCGTAAAAGGACGGCTTTTTCAAAAACAAATGTGCGTGAATTAACTGTGGTTTTTTATGTTAACTCGTACGGTTTACTTTATTCAATCAGAGTACAGGAGGTTTGTTCAGCCAATCGAGTGTGAGACAAATCCACCCGCGTTTCGGCTGCTACCAATTTTTCCAGCGCTTTACAGCCAGCTGCAAAAATATTCTTTAACTTCTGATCACGTAATTTTTCGACTTGTAAATCACAACTAGCCAATCAAATGTATTTGAGGGAATGAACCAATCAAAATTCGAAGCTAAACTGTGCAGCCGACAATAAGCGCAGGAAAGTGCTCTCGGGACAAAGATTGGTAGTGATTTTGCTGTTGATGGTTAGAATAAATTGAATGCTTCTCTTAGTCAAAAAAAACTCTTCTGTGATTTAAAGTTTATGCGTGTCAACGTTCAAGGGAGTTGGCAGATTTGATGAACTTTGTACTAATTGTAATTTGTGTTTAGATTCGCCTTGCTTTGAATGTTCAAGGAAGCACAACACTGCAATACAGCCCTCCACCCCGCTTGATAAACGAGACGAAGTACACTGAAATCAGAATGGATTTCAGGGCTACACGGGTACAGGGCTCACTATTTTACTTGTCAGATGGATCCAGTAGTGCGGTGAGCTGACAATATTTTAAAATAATTCATATCATGAAGTTGATGTTATTGACAATTTACGC